AGAAGGACAGCATTAACAGCTACAGTAAAAATGCACTGCTCCACAGTTGGGAAAAGCAGTTTTCCTGTAAGTCTGTCTTGAACTCTTAGCCAAAAGCACTTGTTTCAGAAGTAATTATTTTTTAACAAACATTTTTCCAGCCAAATGAACTCAAAAAATGAAATAATAATAGTAATATATAACTTTTTTTCCTACCTTGTTTTAGGAGTATAGAATTATCATTGTCAATTAGATTAAGGGTAGAAACTAGGGAGGAAATTAGAATATTTTTTCTAATTTCCTCAAAGTAAATTGTCAAAAATAAAATAAAATAAAATCTCTCTCAAAATAATAACAAAAAGGTTTTTTCATATAAAATTATATTTTTGTTAATAAAATTATTAAAATATTCTTAATAAATTTTTTTTTGTATTATTTCATTAACAATATTTTAATAAATTTAATGTCCAAATTGAACGCACTTTCAATCCGACCTAAAAACAAAAAACATGAAATCTCTCACTTACTAACAAAGAACGTAACATTTGGAATTTGGTTCCAAAAACCCCGCGTCATCGAGGAACATGGTCAACTCAATTTCAGCTGGACCATTGCAAATAAACCTAAATGTGGTATTATAGAAATAATCTTTTTATGCTATTTCTTAATATGATTTTTATGTATTATTAAATGAATTGATACATTTAATATCATAAATTTTATGTAAATTAAAAAAATTAATCATTTAAATGACATGTCAAGTTGTATAAAAAAAATTTAAAAAAAAATTATACAAAAATCATTTCCTTAAATGCAGTTGCCACGTCTACTTCTTGAGCCACGTGTCATCATGATAGTGCCATGCTGGCAGGAAATAGAGTTGGCGGTCGACCGTGAGTCTCGGGTTGACAATCGGACGGACAAACATCCACTATACATCTCCAGCCTGGCAGATTTCGAAGCCCCAAACCTTCCATTTTCTGAGCTAACCCACAACGGCACAACGTTTTCTTCTCGAAATTACACATTTTCTGTCTCCTCAAACATCCCTTTTTTTTGTCCTGTTTCCTTGTTTCTTGGAGTTGTCTCCTTCATTGCAAATAGTCTTACGTTTGAAGGTCAGAGAAAAGGAGTTATCTTTGTAAAGCAACATTGATCTTTTTTGTTTTGAATTAATTGGCTTTTCTTTCTTATTTCGTTGTTTCTTAGGAATTAAGCTAAAGCTTCAGATTCTTCCCGACGGGGAAAAACCATGTTGCAGGACGTCATTCATCCACCGGAGCAGCTCCCCATTGTAACGAAACCCTCCTAAATCCTTACATTTATATTTTCCCATGTTTTTCCATGCATGTTTTGGTTCATAATGAATCATCATGTCCTGTTTCATAACCAGTTGCATATAATCTGCACATTCTGTTTCAATCATGGAAAACCTATGAACAAATTAATGAGCCTCTATGGAGAATTCTTGTTCTTAAATGGTTACGTGCATTTTGTGTCTATCAGTTTATGACAAAATGCTATAGTAACGCAGGGAGTTCTGTTTATGTTTATTTTGTGTTTCTTTCTTCTTAATGTTTGTTTGTATAGATTTCCACTTTTTCACTCTGGCCATGTCATTTTCTGTTCAATCTCTTTCTACCGTCCTGATTTCTCTTGTTTGGTTTTTTCATAATCCTCTGTTATATTGGATATAAGGTACAATATCATACTTAGAAATGTCCCGTATCCATGAGGCATCAAAATGGTACTGTGTTATTCTTAGGCTTGCTTGACTTGGAAGATATGAATGTTTCCCTTACACTCTTTTGTACTGTGTTATTCTAATGTTCTTTCGGTTGACTGCAAGGCGGGGATAACAAAACAGTATCGTTAGTGGATTAATTTCACATCTTCATTTTCGATAGATAGTCATTGTTTTCCATGCTACAACATTCATTCTAGATGACAATCAATATGTTTCATTCAATCTTTTATTTTGACAGTGTTCATTTTCTTGGGGCATGACCATATTAGATATATTCAGTGTTTTTCCTGTATTTTTCTTTTCATCACTATAGAATATAAGTGGGTCCTTACTTTTGCTTCTTATTTAAGCTTTCTAATTTTGATTATTTTGCTTAAGGTTTGGATTGTTCATGCAAGAACCGTAGTGACAGCATCCCACATGGATAACATAAATGGGTTCCTTGAGTTCAGTTCTGATTATTTGTTCCAACTTGGCTATTTCCATACATTGAGCCAAAATAACGTACCATTAACTTATTTCTTTGTTAATGCTACTGATTTTTGCCTGCATTGGATACTTTCGCCTCCCACATGTCATGTGGAGCACACATAGACATCTTTTTCTTCTTTCTACAAAAATTACCCCACTATGAGATTATCCTGCTCAAGAAGTCTTATGAGTTTTTGGTCAAAAATGGAAATCAGATTGATGCCTGGCAACAATAGGATGAGCACAGACTTACATATTGCTTCTGCTATAACAAGAACCATCTGATCTGGATCCAACAGCTCATATCCTTTCATGATATATAACTGATGCAAGACAAGTGAAACCTGAAAAGATTTACATAAGATTCCCTGGCTTGTACTTTGACAACGAAACTGATAGAACAAAATTAATTTAAAAATGTACTTAAGCACCAATTAAGTTGCTAAGCCTTGATGGCCTAGATGCTTAAGTCTCAACTTAGGAGAGAATATTAGCTATTTCGTGGTAGTTTATTTTGGGATCATGATATCTTGTCGATTCATCAATAAATAAGAATTAGATTCAAATTCCATTGTACAAAAAACATGAAGGATCAAGATGCCTGTAAGCATAAAGAAAAGGTTGATCATCATGTTTAGTGGTATATAGTAATGGTATTGAGCTTAATTTTCATATGTTTTACAGGTTAATGTAAATTTTTTTTTTTCATGATCTTAACATTGCTTGTCCATTGTTACAGGATGACATCTCAAGCCCAATCAGTGGTCCAATTTTTGATTTTTGTGATCCGGATTTATTCTCAGAAAACCTGCAGAACTCTGAGGTCACTTCTTCTAATTGTTGCTATGAAGAGAATTCCTCCTATGCCACTAATCTTTCCATACCACCAGACATCGAAAAGCATAATAGCTGCCAAGATAACCAAGGCATGACAAACATAGCCAACCCCACAAGCACCACCACTACTACCACCGCAAGCACCACCACCACGGCTACTACCACCCCTACTGCTACCACTGACAACAATAATAGTAATCTGTTCATAATCTTTGATTCCCCAGATGAGATTGATAATGACATTTCTGCTTCAATAGACTTTTCATCATCCTCTCCTTTTTCTGTTCCTCAATTTCCGACAATTCACCAAGATCAATTCGACCTCACCTTGGTGCAACCTCAAATCCGATTAACAGATGTTGTGGTTGATGGACTCGCACAGTACTCTGCTGATCCCGTTGTGCCTCTTATGGGACCTCCATTATCTGCAGTTTTTGAAGAAGAGTGTTTTTCCTCTGTACCTGCTTATGTACCTTTAAACCCTTCATCTCCTTCCTGCTCCTTTCTTGGCCCTTCTATGCCAACATTCATGCCTGCTGGGGCTATGACTGCTTCTTTATCTGCTGACAGTTCAGGGATTTTTTCTGGAAGTCTTCTTATGGGGTCTGAATTACAACCACAAGAATTGGAATATCAGGGTGACAATGGGAGAATGTTCTGTCCAGATTCAACGCAGCACAGTTTTAACCCTGGAGACTTGCAGGTAATTATGTAGTACACACTAACAGGTAAATCTGATTACTAGAGTTCTCAACAAGGGGTAAATTAGAACAGTTCTATAGGACTGAAGAACATGCAGAACTATCCTTGGAGACCATCATCTTTTGAAGACCATCATCTGACCCATACTATAGTTTTTGCCCTTTTAATGATTAACTACTGGTTGAAAAACTTAATTAACAAACGGGCGTTTTGGCTCAATAGATTTATTTATTACTACATGACAGGAAGTATAGATGTTGCTGCAATATCAAATCTTAGAATTAGAGGAGATTTATGGGAGCTTACTTTCCCCAATCCTAGACTCCTACTATGGCCAGGACATACTAAGTAGCTTATAGAGAGAAGCATTATTGGACTAAATCAGAGAAAACTTTGAACAATTGCACTTATCATTAGAAAGCAACTAAAGTTTATTGAACTTGAATATATATCTGGTTTGTGATTCTTCCAGCAGGTGCTTACTAGTGAGAGCCAACAACTTGGGCCTGTAGCTGCTAGTTCTACTCCTCTAACATCAGAGATTTCAGGTTTGGAAGATCCAACCTTTAACAAGGTAGGCAAACTCACTGTTGAGGAAAGGAAGGAAAAGATCAATAGGTACATGAAGAAAAGGAAAGAGAGGAACTTCAGCAAGAAAATTAAGGTTCCTTTTCTTGTTCCAACCACCTCACCCCATCCTCTTCTATGTTCATGTTGTATATATGCATGCAGATACATGAAAAATTTTGAATATCACAAGAATATGCTTTGGCACTGTAAACTTCATCTGTTTTTCGGTTTGCTGAGAACTTTTCACTTACAATCATTTTTTCCTTTTCCTTGTATGCGAGTATTCAACTGCAAAGTCTAAAACTACATGTGTATTTTATGCCTTCCCATTTACAGCTCAGTATTTTAGTATTCTAGTACTAATGGCAGGACTAAATATGCAGTATGCCTGCCGCAAGACACTAGCAGATAGCAGACCTCGAGTGAGAGGCAGATTTGCCAAGAATGATGACTTTGGAGAGACCTCCAGGCCAGCTTCTAGCAATCATGAAGAAGAAGAAGATGAGGAAGTAAGAATGTCATTTTCCCCTTTTATCAACATAAAGAGCAATCATCATATCTTGTTTAACATACAATGCACACATGTTCTTTTTGGCCTAAACACTGACACATATTACAGAACTAAGATTCATAAATTGATTCCACATCATGATCCTTGCAATTTATAACTTTCTCCCTTTTTCCTTGCCATCAATTCCCTTCAGGTTGCTGTGAAAGAAGAGGAAGACATGGTTGATTCCTCTGACATCTTTGCTCACATCAGTGGTGTGAACTCCTTCAAGTGCAACTATCCCATACAGTCCTGGATTTGACAAACTTCTTCATAACAAGTAAACTACAATTTTGCAAGACCCTATTTCAGCCAGGGTTACTCTATCCAGGTATAATCTTAAAATCAAAAGACCAAAGAAAAAAAAAAAAGGAAAAAAAGAAAAAAAGAGAGAAATAATTGGGTCGTTATGGTTTCCAGATAATCAAGTCAGGATAATATGGACAGTAAATAAGAACATGTAGTTTTGTAGATAATATCACAGCTTGTATCAGGTTCAACATCTGTGATCTGGAAAACCTTGTATCCTACCAGCCAGAATAGCTAATTGAACATATTTATGTTAGTTTGTACTTAAACCTAAGATATCAGCTTTACATGCAAACAATTGTGTAAATAAAATGCTTGACTCATGTAAATTATATAACATTGAGGCTTGCTAGCGGCTTTACTGAGCTCAAAACATTACACAAAGATCTGCAAATTAATCTCTCCTTTTGTTTATTGTCTGTGTGATTGTGTTCTATCTTTCCTTGGCTGTTTCCTGATAAAGGTCAAGCTTTCCTATTCTTAGGCCCTCGTATAAATGTGATGGTATGGACTATGGCCCCCAAAGTGACTTCCTCAACTGTGATGCCCTAGCAGGTGAAAGCAATATTAAATTTAAAATAACCCTCTTGAATAACTCTTAAAAGCGGGTTGGATTAACTAAAAAGTATTAAGTTGAGTCAAAGGTGATTAGGAGTAAGAGACAAATTATCAAACAATACATATCTTTCAATAATTTAGATGAAACTATTAATTGTTAATCTATTGTTAAAATGTTGTAGTTAGTTGAATGCATGAATGCATCTCCATGACTTCTCTTTCTTGCCCAATAATTAGATTGTAAGTTTGTAACCATGTGACATGGTAGATTCTAGAATCGGATTTCAAATCTTTTTCATGTGATTGATTTACCAAACCCATCACCGGAACTGCAGCTATGCTTTCAAGTTTCACCTAAAACCCTTAAATTAATTAATTTTTGTGCAGGATCTCAATTATTGGTGTTTATCATTATCACCATTGAGCAACCCCTTTGAGTTCCAAGAATCTCCATTCTCATACTTGGATGATCAAAATCAATTTTGGTATTGAAAACCTCCCCCCACTCCCTTTTTTGGCAGCCTTTCTATTTTGCACAAAGCGAGGAAAAAGGGATAGGTTAGGTTCGAACTCCAAACCCCATGGAACCTGGTAGCCATTATTTACGATTTACGAAGTTACGAACTTTTGGGGACCATTTTGATTTTATTCCACCCACTAGTACACTGTACAAAATCTTTCTTGCTTTCCGAGGTACCCTTTTACAGATGCACCGAGGTTCTTTTAAATTCTGAAATAAATGTCCTCAATACCGGATTTTCAATTTTTTTTAAAAAAAAAACTATGGGTTATTATAGATGATAATACTTCTCTTCCCATCCCCGCCAATCCTGTGATTTAAACGTAGAGATTAAGTTTTTAACTACTATAATGTTCCCTCAATGACAAATTCTCAATTTGATGAAAATATAAAAAAATTCTTACTATATCTTAAATTTCAATTTATTTCTATTTAAATGGTCAACATTTTCATCATTGTTATTATATTAATTTTTACTTCCTTGATTTTTAAAAGCATATATTAACGACTTATAACTAACAACTATTTTAATTTGATATTTTTCCTTTTGGATAGTGTTTTTTTTTTTTTTTTTTTTTTCAATTCCTTTAAATGAATAGCTTCAAATGTTATTTTGGCAGACATTGTTAGCCTCCAAATGCAAGAATTTGACAATTGAAGCCTAGGAAGTTAGGTATGGTTTAGAAAATAGACTTTGATATCACATGCACAACAAAAGTCCTTTTCACATATACAATACAATTTCAATAAGGTTGTTAATCAAGCAACTACTATAAGATAAAGAAACCGTTTCCTTTCAATCAAAATAAAACATTAGATTGATAGATTTATCAACCATAATTGTCTAATCTATGATCTTTATTTGATCAAAAAAATATACGACCTTATTGGACCCACATGTTCAAGTATTCAAAATGCCCGGGATTGGGGGTTGTGAGACCTTGATTACATTTTGAGCATCCTACTCCATTATATTTCTTCTTCATGGCTGCTTCAACTTTTATATATACAAATTTCTAGTCAAAAGAACACTTAGAGGTTGTTTGGTATAATTTTTTGAAATTAATGGTTAGTGGTTTTATTTAATTTAGTGAATAAGAGTATTTAAATTACTAATAATAATAACAATTATTAACTATCAAATTAAATGAAACCATTAATAATTAATTTCAAACTATTACACCAAATAACCCCATAGTTTAAGCATAATCACCATGACCCACAAATAGCATTATAATCTTTTTGCATTGCTTGATCTCATTGTTGCAGGCAAGAGTTCAAGCATACCATGCATGAAATAAGGTCATTGACCAAACACAAGACAGTGAGATGCTGAAATCCCTTTTTTCTCAAAGGTGTGGAAAGTGGTCCAAGTGGAGTTTCGAAAGTCACAGAACATTATTCCTGCTTAGTGGTCCTCTAATTGATCTCTTTCATGACCCATGTAGTTGCATTGCAGAGTCTTTGTGCTAGAGACCACAAAACCACTACTAATTGTGGATATCTCAAAAAATGGAGAGTTACTTTCTTTTCTTCTTTAAAGCATTTAAACTGCCCAAAAATGTATGTTTAGGTCTTATTTAGGCCAAACTTCAGATAAGATTGGTTTGGTTCAATTCGAATTTTTAGGAAATCAATAAATTTAGTTTAGTTAAAAAAAAATAATTCACAATTGAACATACAATATTGATCATTTGCTATATAATAGAAAATAATTTTTTTAACTTTTTTTACCTTTTGAGTTTGATGTCACAAATGATTGGAATTGAAATTAAAATTTAAAGTTTGAGATACAACAAGTATGGATGATATAGATATTACATTTTTCTTTTAAATATAAGTACATGTTTTTTATACATCATTCATGTGTTTTGTTTTTTGTTTTTGGATGATAGATCCAACGTTGATTGCTACGAATTATTTAATAAAACAAGAAAACAGAGAAAACAAAAGTGCACATGCCAACCGATGTGGTCCAAATTTGTTTGGCGATTTAGGTCACTATTGCTTTTTTCTGCTGGCCAGCTTGCCCATTTCTCTGTTACTTTCCTTTCTTCAAAATTTTGTAATTATGAAAAAAAGAAAGAAAAAAGAAAAGAGGGAGATGTGCAAGATAATTTTTTATTGGTTAGGGAGATATGCAATTATGCATATAGAACTGACAAAATTTTTTAATTTTTTAAATTTCCTTTTCAAGTGAAAAAATTGAGAGTGTGTTTAGTTTAATTGAAGAATAAATTTTAATTGTAATTTATTTATTATATAAAATTATTTAGTTAAATTTTATCTAAGAATCAAGTTATAATAACTAAATCCAATAGAAGAACTATAAATTTTTCTTGATTATGATGTTTGGCACCTGGCCTTTGGACCTAGAGGCAACTACCACAATGAAAGGTGCATCCCCTCCTCTAGCGTGGGGTCGACCTGCGTCATGATCAATTGTTCAAAAAAAAAAAAAGATTATGATGTTTGGAAATATTATTAATTTTAAATTAATATCAACTACCATGTCTCTTAATTGTTCTTAAGAGCCAAACCATTAGAATACAATGGAACTTGTTTGGTTCTGTAATGACTGTTAGTCAACACAAAAATGCTGGGCACATTGCAAAAGATCGTTCTATTTTTAGTGAAAATGCATGTCCTCCCACAAATGAAGACCTTTTCTCTTGCTTCCCACATTCCACCCCATGAATTTAGTTTCAAGTTCTAAACTTTTTTTCCTTTTTGGGAATTAAGTTTTAAAACCTGTTATTGTTTGGCATAAGAAAAAGGATTACAATCCCAAAGATCTTCCACTGTGTCACAAACAGTAAATTAAGGGTGGGTGAAATGAGACCCACAAAAAGATTATTATGATAGAAATGCATATCTACCACTGTTCTAAGTGGGGTTTCTGTTGTCAAGTGTAATCCTGAATACGTATCCATATTGACTCAAGTCGTAACTCACAATTTCTCAGAATGGTGGTGAGAAAAGGAAAGAGAAGGAGAGGTGGGTCCTACGAGGAACAATGGGAACCAAAATTCCACGGCAAAACGTGGCTCACAACAACACCTATTTTCAATCTTCACGCCTCCCACCACTTGTGCTTCAGTTAGTTTCGTCTTTTTCCATAATTTTCTTTTAATTTTTGGAACCTTCTCTCTCTAGAATTCTTGATTAGTGCTCAAAACCTTTTTCTCAAGTACAGTGTTTAGAACCCAGCATTATTAGCAGTTTGTTTTTTTTAGTTGCCAAAGCCTTCCTTTGTATCTTAATTAGGTGATTATTCTTTATGTTTCTTTCCCTTTTGGAGATTGAGGTCTGGAATTTGGATTATTGGGTAATCAACGGTTGCTTTATTGGAAATCACCTGCTTCTTTAAGCTTGCTTGCCTTCTGATTGAGATGACCTTTCTTCTTGGATCCATTTCTTCAGGTAACAAAAGGTTTTTTTCTTTTTCACTTATTCAGTTTATAAAAGCTTGCAACTTTCCCACTTTCTATTGTATAAATTTGGATTCTTTTAATCTTATTCGGTTCTTGTTTCTTACTGTTTTTTGGGTGTGTTCTTCCCTGTCTTCCTCCCCCCCCCCCCCCCCCTTCTGGTAGTGTTTGATATCAAGTATATTGTGAATTCCTGTACATAAAGTGGAATTGAAGGAGAAAGATTGCATCTTGTTTGGTTTAAGATTTATTCTCCTACTGATTATATTTCTTTTACTTTTGGTGTTTTGTTTTTTATTCAAAAGTTTCTGTAGTTTAGTTTGAGTATAGAAAAGATTGTGTATTGTTATGGAGCAGTTTATTTCACTGGGTCCAACAACTCCATCAATTTTCTTCAAACATGTATGTAATTTTTCTGATATCTGATCTCTAATGTTATTGCTTTGATGTCATCTTGATTCTGTTTGATATTATAATTATTCTGATTATGGTATTTACTTGTTGAATGATTATTTTTGCAAATACATCTATTTTCCCTTCTCTGTTAATTGCCTCGACTTTGGTATGATACAATTTTTTGTGTGTTTATGCTAGTATATGTTTCAATTCTGTCATCATCATAACTATGATTCTCACTAGTCTCTCCAATTGCTAAGTAATTTGTCTATTTCTTCCTTTTCTAGATTAGTAAATAAGAAAGAGAATTGTTTTTGGCATTCATTTAGTGATGCTTACATAAATACTAGTTCTATGATTACTTGCTTAAGTTATTATTTGAGCCGAAAACCTCATGTATTTTTCTGAGCAATCATCTTAATTTTGATCTTGTTATTCAAAATTGGAAATGTCCTTTATATCGTGATTTGTTATAACCTGATTAATTTCTATGTTCTTACACCACTTGCCTTGCTGTTTTTTCGTGCTAAGACCCTGCTGACTTGATGGATGCAGGACTCTCTTATTTTCCTTTTGCATATGGTTCTTTTCTTTTGCACTATCTTGATGCTGCCCTTTGTAATGTTGTTTGGATTTCTTGTAGAATTCAGATTGGAAGGCTAGAAGAGATACATAATGTGGATACTGTCAGCCTTCAAACTCATATCAACCAATTGGAGGCAAAGAACAGGTAGTGAGGTTCCCCCATCATCAGTCAACTTTGTTTAATTGGTGGAAGAAGATGGACAAGTCATTCATCAATAATCAGAAAGATGATTCTCGGGAAGAGGATTCAGTTGATAGCTTGAGAAATAAAGGAGAACTATCAGGAGAAAATAGTATAAATTATTCTCCTATAAAATCAAAAGGGTTGGTGAGACGTGCACAACATGGTCTGATATTTAATGTTAAAAAATTGCACACCAGTAACGGTTTCATAAAGGATTCACTCCTTCAAAGTACATGTGGCTTAGGAAATAAGATTCCAAGGCATGTTGTGACTTTGGAAGAGAAATATTCGCGTCATTGCCTGGAACAGATTAACCTTATCACAGAAAAAGCAGCCAGATCCAACATTTCAGAGAACTTCAGCTCTGTAAAGATGGGCAGTTTATCTGATGTCGTCAATCGAGTTAAAATCAGGAATGAAGATACAAGTGATTTTGGTAGGTTTGTTTTTGGATGTCCATTAGCAGCAGCTGGTGATGGGAGTGCAGTTATTGGTTTGCCAGGACAGTGGATTGTAGGTTCAGTAATGGGTAACAAGGGTGTGATGAACATATTGAAAAGCCCCTTGTTGCAGAAATTGGGAGCATCGGATGCTGGTGCTGATTTTAGAAGAAATTTCAAGGATGTTAAAGGAACAATATCTTATGATTTTTTGAGTTCTCCTGGTGGGTTAAGTAATTGTTCATCACATAAACCAGAAAAGGAAACTTACATGCTTGGAAAGAATAAATATCAATCTGAGAATTCTCATAGAAGGTTGATATCTATGTCAAGCACAAACTCCACATGCTCCGATCATTCTTCTTCTCCTTCTGCATTCATTTCTCAGGGAATGCTCCAATGCACATGGAAAAGTGGGGTTCCTCATTTTGTTTTCTCCCTGGATAATCAGAGGGATGTTTATGTGGCCAACTTGTCGAAGGCTGAATCAGCTCTTGATAAGGGTATGAAGTATCTGTACTTGTTCCATTCAAGCAAGCATGGCAATAAGGAACAAGGATTTTGTGGTAAGGAGTCACACCTTGTTGGTAAGATGAAGGTATCAACTTCTTTCAGCATTTCCCCAGATAATTCTAAAATCATGGAGAGAGAGTTTGTTTTGTTTGGTGATAGTGGAAATTTCATTGGTGAGATGCAAGCTTCAAACAATAAACACAGGAAGAATAAGAGACAAATGAAGAAGTTTGTGGATGTTTTCAGACCCAGTCACCCATCAAAGCAGAGAGGCGTGTCTAGATTTGTGGGATCAAGTTCCAATTTGGAAGATTGTTCTTTGGAGCCATGCCTAGACATAGCCAACAGTTCTGATACACGTGGTGGGGTCAATCTTTTGGAGGAACCACTTCCTCATAATCTTCAATTGGCTGCCATTCTTGTGAAAGACCACCTCCCTGAAAATTGTCCAAAGGAAATCGGAGGCTGGGGCTTGAAATTTCTGAAGAGAGTTTGTACCAAGCCAACAATTGATTCTTTTGCAGCCTTAGAACAAAATGCTTGTGAAGACAACAATGGTAATTGTTCAACAAGTATGGATGTTCTACTTCCAGCAGGCCTTCACGGTGGTCCAAAAACCAGAAATGGTGGCCCCTCTAGTCTCATTGAAAGATGGAGATCTGGTGGACATTGTGATTGTGGGGGCTGGGACCTGGGATGTCCACTAACAGTGCTTAAAATTAGGTCAACTAAAGGAGAGGCATCACCTGATGCTGATGTGCCAGAGCCGTGCAAGTTTTGTGATTTTTTCATTCAGGTATTCAAGTCTCCTTTTGCCCTGTTCTTCCTTAGTGATCTGCAATTTTCAATATTGTTAGTATCATTGATGAAGTTACCTTAGAAGCTCAGCCATTTCTGGAAATCGCTTTTATCAGCTCAGCCATTTCTGGAAATTGCTTTTATCAGCTCAGCCATTTCTGGAAATTGCTTTTATCAGCTCTGCCGTTTTTGGCAATTGCTTCTGCCAGCTCAGCCATTTTTGGCAAGGGCAGTGATATAGAGATGACCTTTTTACAACATTTTTATACAACTTTTACGTATCATTAAATGAGTGGATGCACTCAATATCACAGGTTCCAAATGAATAAAAAGAGATAATCATTTAAATAACATGTAAAGTTGTACAAAAATGTTGTCTTTGAATTATTTTCCTTCTAGCAATGGCATTTACCAAGTTTGTCTTCACAGAATTTATGTCCTGTGTATTTTTTTTCCCCCAATTACTAATCATCTGGATATTTGAGGTCATAATTAAGCTCCCTTCTCTTTTCAAAAATTTGCAACTACTATTTTCCATTTTACACCTGAATTATCATTATGATGACAATGGTTCAACTTAAATTTTCAGGGTTCTGAGCATCATGCTCCTGCCTTGAGGATAGCGAGTATCCATGATGGCTTGTATTTTGTTCATTTTCAATCAACACTATCAATTCTGCAGTCTTTCTCTATTGCAGTGGCATATATCCATACCCATAGTCCAGCTCTCCGACCAAAAAGTGTACAGGAGTCAAAGCAATGAGATTCACAGTTTGAAGTTTATGTTGTTGTAACCCCCCTTCTACAGCAGTGTGTTAGTCAAAGTGCTTGAGTTCCTTCTTGTATCATATGGGCTACGAAATAGGAAACTCAAGCAGAGAGAGGAAGCCTCCAATATCAGGAGGCCTGCTCCTATCCAATGGTTTATGTTATTTAGTTCGGACTGCATAATAGTTTCTTTTTTTCATTTTTTTTTAAAGTATTTATACATGAATTAGAATTGTTATTTGTTGTGTCTACGGCAGCTTGCTTATGGCGTGCAGCCTATGTTGTCCATGATTCCGAAAACAGAAATATTGTAATGTTCCCCTGGATTGGTATGTAAGATTTTGAATTTTGATGGAGTGAAATTTATACGAAATAATATACTTCATTACAAAACCAATTATTATGTCACAAAATCAATTACAAAATAATATATCCTTTCATTCGAAATAAAAAATTTTAAATTGAGTTCTTATGATACATAGGTGGAGAAATGGTGTAAATAAAGGTATAAACTTTGTAATTTTTTTTTATTTAAGGATGTTAATTTTGTTAATTTTTAAATAAAAATGTCAACTTTTAACTTTTTTTATTTAAAGATGTTAATTTTTAATTTTTTGTATTTAAAGATATCAACTTCAACATTTCAATTAAAAAATCCGTTTGGCATATTAGCATTATCATTCAATTAATCCTTAAATAAAAAAAAGTTGAAAGTTGATATTTTTAAATAAAAAAAATTAAAAATTAACACTCATAAACAAAAAAAAAAATTAAAACTTGACAACATTATTTAGAAATTGACAAAATTAACATTTTTAAATACAAAAAGAATCTAAAGTTGACATCTTTATTTACCCCTTTTCTTTATATGGGTGAAATAAAATAAAATAAAATAAAAATTATCTCTTATTGTATAATTAAAATAAATAAATAAAATATAAAGATTCCAACCTGCTGAAAGATGAGTGGCGTGTTCTCACATAATGGCTTGAGTTGTGTGGTATGCTCACATTTTTGTTAATTTTATTTTAGTTTTTTTGGGGGCCAGGCCTGGCCTGGTATAAAACGAAGGTAAGCCCAATTTGTTTGGTCCTGGACCGACCTGATTCGATCTTACCCGACAAAATCCACACAAAGAAACCCTAATTAGCCGTGGATATAAACTCCCAAAACCCTAACTTCACATTCTATTCTCCATCAGCAGTCGAAAATGTCGAAGCGAGGTCAGTTTATCTCATTCTCTAGTTTCGATTCCGTTCTGTTTGATTCCCATGGAAAAAAGAAACAAAATTTCTTAGTTTATAACAAATGTTTCGTGTTCTGTTGGAAAATGGAATTGAAAGTTCGTTACTTTGTCATTGTTAGGACGCGGAGGAACGGCGGGTAACAAGTTTAGGATGTCACTGGGTCTGCCAGTGGCGGCGACGGTGAACTGCGCCGATAACACAGGTGCCAAGAACCTGTACATCATCTCCGTGAAGGGGATCAAGGGACGCCTGAACCGTTTGCCGTCTGCTTGTGTCGGTGATATGGTGATGGCCACCGTGAAGAAGGGGAAGCCTGATCTCAGGAAGAAGGTGTTGCCTGCTGTCATTGTTAGGCAGCGCAAGCCCTGGCGCAGAAAGGATGGTGTTTACATGTACTTCGAAGGTCAGTGTTCTTTCTATTCCATTAGTTTTACTGTCATGTGTTCGTGATTTGTTCGTGATAAAATTGATTTTGATTTAGTATTTGGTTTGGTATTGATCACTGTTTAATTAGTAGATTTGCTGCAAGTGAGCTATATTAGACAAAGGGAAATGCTTGTTAGCTTCAAATTTGTTTCTGTTAACTTGCTGGTTAGGGGGCGTCCTGATGTGTGTATTATATGTATCACTATGATTCGATGCTGCCTTAAACCAGCAAAATTATCTGTGTGGTCGAATATTTATCGAGTGGGGTCTCTCTGATGTAGAATCACACTTTTCGCAATTCGATACATTATTTGTTGTTTATAAGCATATGATATGTTAAGGGTGGTTAGGTGACTGATTCGCTGGTGATGTGGCGTTGAGAATACTGTGGTAATTGTTTCTCTGCACCTCCCATACCCAGCTATAACTGCCTACCAACCTTACCCCTTTCCTGGATGGTAATCATTCTTATCATCCCTGTCAAGGTTGGGACAATATTTCAAATCTTCAAAATTTTGAAGTTTGTCTCTCTCTGTCTTTGTCTTTGTCTTTGTCATTCCAACTGCAAGATGTTTGCTTGATGAGTAGAAACACGCACTTGAATAGGAAATGCTTGAAAAGTTAAAAGTTCTTTACAGTTTGGGTGGTTCACGGTTTTGTTAATTGGGTATGTATTTTGTTATACTGCCAGACATAAGTCAGGTATCCACTTCAGTGTGCAATGGTTGATACAGTTACACGTCTGGAAAATCGAATGGGTCCTTCGTTGCAGATGCGTTTATGCTTTGGATGCTCACATGTGCTCCATTGGGGCCTTACATATTTTTATCCAATAGATTCAATCATCAAGTTCCATACCTAGTCCATTTGTTAGGCTTTTAAATTTTTGCATTTCATTCTTTTCTCCATGCATTGAGATATAGTCATCAAGTTAGATTCTCTATTCAACTGCTGACTCAGAACCATTTTTATTTGCAGATAATGCAGGTGTTATTGTAAATCCAAAGGGAGAGATGAAAGGTACTGCTACTTGTTGACTTTAAAATCATATAAAAATTTTCCAAGTTTGCCAACAAATTATAGATTTTAATGATTTGGGTGCCTTATTTGGTGGTTTCGTGTGTTTTTGAAGGATCAGGGGTTGAAAGGATTAATAGTTTTTCCGGCATTGGCAAACATAGATCACATTTTGTTTAGTATTTGGATACAAACATAATGAACAATTTTCCAGGATTCTAGTTGACTGATTCATTTATTTCTCATGTTAGGTTCTGCCATCACTGGTCCAATCGGGAAGGAGTGTGCTGATTTGTGGCCCAGGATTGCAAGTGCTGCCAATGCCATTGTTTAAGATTCTCAACTTGTGACATCTAGTTCCTTTGCTTTGTTCAAGCCATAGTCTATTATGAAATTTTGCACTGTCTAGTTTCTGTTTGCCCAGGATGTCATTTTGATTGTCTTGAATTATTACATTTCAAATAACAGTGTGTTTGCTTAATTTCATTCAGGATAAGCTTTCATCAATGAGTTTATTGCTTTTCATCCATTGTCATTGATATTTCTCAAAACAAAATCTTCGAGTAGAAGTGAAGTCTTACTTTCAAGAGTTTTGGGAGGAAAGGATGATCTTGTATAAAGCCAGAATGGCTTTATATTTATTGAAGTTTCTTTTTTATGTGTTATGAAATTGATTTCCTCCTTTTAAGATAAGGTGATAAAACCCCTTTTTTAGGCGCATCACAAATGGTGCGCTGCAACCCTAGGTGACCATTTTAGTTGTAAGATTCAAGTTCTTTTTCTTAAATTTGCGCTTCTTGTAAAAAAGAAAAAAAAAACCATTTTTAGGCAAAATTTAAGAGAAAACAAAGCCAACAAATTTCCAACAAGCCTCGAAATTTCTAATTAATAGAATATTAGTTCAAATATACATTAGCAACTTGCGTAGGCCTTATTATTTGATTCCTGTGGGTACAACTAACAGTTTTAATTTACAGATGAACTTACATAACCTGATATCAATTACAGGTAGCACTTTGCACATCTTTTTATTTTGGCTATACTAAACCCATATTATGCAATTATTTCATGAAACAAATTTAGAAACACACATAATTCTGCATAAGGTTGCAACTTCCAAACACTATAGCGAAGGGCATAACATATCCATATATCTTCCTCAGTTCATCTTTTCCCCAGCATTTCCCCTCACTTTTGCATAATACTCGAATATACTTCCATCATACACCCGCCTCGCCGCTTCTTTCGACAGAAATCCATCCTCATCCTTGGCAAGAACATACAGTAATATCCACTCAAATTTTGCAACAATCCAGCCAAACAAGTCGAATGTAACCCGGTTTCCCTCGGTCATACTCCACATCTCCCAAAAGCTCATCTTGTCCGGAATTGTTCGAGCATATTTGCTGAACATGTTCTCTAGATTCACTGGCATAAACCTGCAAAGCATTCCATTAGAAAATGAATGTAAAAGGATTGACGGCCTCTTTCCCGTTCCTCAAGAAATCACATTCCAAACACTGTTAGATTATTATTGAAACAACACATATCACTAATTACCTTCCTTCAGTGTCATAGGTTGCAGTATCACTTCCATGCTTGGCTTTATGTATGTTCTTTATGTATATGGGAAAAAGAGGATTTGGAAGCCATCCCTGAAATATACAAAACTTCATTATTGTTTTCCATTCATTTCTGTAAGAAATCTACATCTCATGTAGCATGAACATTTTAACTTACTGGGAGTGTAGGATAGCTAAATGCTACATTGATCCCAATTGCAGCAATGAGAGAGATGATTGGATTGAAACCGATTGCTCGAAAACCTGACAATATTCAATTCAAGAACAGAATTAACAGAAACAGTTTTTACCTCAATAGCAATTTAGAATGAATCGTAAGGCAAACGTTCTTACCTTTGTAAGTCTCACATGGGTAAACGATCCCATCTTTGTTTTGGTCAAAAAATGCCACATGTTGTTGAAGAACAGACATGCCATTGTTATTATGTCCTGCAGTTCCATTGGGATTGTCGGTATCCGTGGCTTCCAATGCTCTAGCCAAGTCTGAAAGACCAAAAATTGTTGGGTGTAAATCATACAAGAGGAATTAGAGCATGTTTGATCTACCTCCAATTTTTTTAGAAGTTCTGTTTGAGTAGAGGTTTAGGGACTTACAAGGTTTAGGAAGTTTCTCTTCCAAATCATCTCGGACTCTTCTTTCTCTAGTTACGGGCGCCATGGGCGCCTCGGTAGCCATTGCATCCCTTCCCATTTCTCGAATCTCCCTCTTGTTTCCTTCTTCCTTCTAATGCACCTCAAGTTGAAGAGAAGGGCTGCTTAAAAACAGAAGCTCAATTAGGTTGGAAAAGATGTTCACTTCTTTCCTTATTATGCAACCTAAGTGGAAGAGAAGGGTTACTTATATAATTTGCAATAAAGAAGCTTTAATTAGGGTGGAAAAGATAATCACGATAACTAATGTCTTAGAGGGTGTTTGTTTGACATTTTACAAACAGCCACCAACTGTTAGCTCTAATTATACAAATGATATTTTAAATGATAAACTAGAACCATAATTATCAATTGTCAAATTTGGTTATCAGTCATCAATTATATTTAAACAACTAATCCAAATAGCTCCTTAATCTTTTTTGCATTACTTGTATGTAGCCAATTTTCTGCACCTTGTTCCAAATTAATTAGGATAGGACCTTTAACTCTAATACAAACTAGTATATTTGATTTAAAAGAAATGAGTGGAATGAGAAAGGAGAGAAATAAAAGGATCTAACATTCATTCATTTCTCTCCACTTCCATTATTTGAATAAGTGAAGGAATTAAAAACAAAAAAATGACCTCCTCTCCTCTCCCCTAAAACCAAACATATCCTTTAGTACTCCTTTGCGTCTAAGTTTTGAGAGAAATTGACATTTTTTCTTTTAAAAGAAGTTTGCTTATTGCCTATGAATTTGGAGTGTTTGTCAAAATCTGTACCACCCAAACCGGCTACTAACCTTTCCTTTACACGGTATTAATTCTCTTAAAGAAATGATATTTTGGCTAGCATACCCTAGAAATAAACCCCAATGTGACACCATAGTTACGTACCAATAACAATTTAAACTAATCTTGTTGGATAACAAATTTTCAACCATTTAAAAATTCATTTTAGTCCTCGTTACTTTTTTTTTTTTTAGTTAAACTAATTTAAACTAATCTTGTTATGTTTTAAATTTTTTAAGGTTTTGTGTTTAGGGTATCAGGTTTAGTGTTAATTTTTTTTTTTTAAAAGATTTAGTATTTAAGACATTAGGGTTTAAATTGTTTGAGTTCTATATTTTATGATATTAAAATTTAGATTTTTTGGGCTCTATATTTTATGATATTGGGATTTAGATTTTTACAAATTTAGTACTTATTATATTAGAGTTTAGATTTTTCAAGTTTAGGGTTAAATATTTAAAATTTTAGGTGTTTAATAATTTTAAAATTAAAAATTAAAAGGCCAAATGTAAA